GTATTTCTCCTCTGAGGCTGAGCATTATGTTCCTCTCCAGAGCTTCAATAGAAGTTCAGTTTTATATTCTGTTCAATGATTGCTAAGATTTAGCACATGGATTCCCTTTGTCAGATACTTAATTTTTACATATCTTAGGCTGTGTTCCTGTGATATTTTATTCAGTGTTGGTAATATTTTGGGTGGGCCCATTAAAAAAAAACACATGGGGAAACTGATATATGTGTAAAGGATGGAGACCTGGATGGCAGCCATGTTATTTGCAAGTAATGGATGGAGGGATGCTGTCGATCTGGGGAGACCAATCCTCCGGTTCCAAGGGTCCAGACTGAGCCATTCTGTGGGCAAGAGGCAGGGTTGGGCTCTGCTGTTGAGCAGTTTCACAAGCAGCTTGGAAAAACGTCTGACGCACTCCAGCTGAAAAGAGAAGCTACCCTGTCTGGAACACGGTAAAGGGTGGCCATCCTACGTTAGGTGCAAGGTCACAGAGGAGAACTGCCAGGTCCCCTTCCAACTCCACAGTTTCCAAACTCTCTAGATATTTGTCATCCTTTCATGTGTGCAACAAGTATTCATCGAGCATCTGGCATGCCCCCACACTAGTCTAAGTCCTGAGGATGCAACAAGGTATCAGCCAGTTTCTGCCCACCTGTTACTTCTGTTCAAGGGGGAAGACAGATGATTAAGAACTGAATTAATGTATTGATGATGTCAGGTAATGATAACTAATATAAATAACAATGAAGCGGAGTGTAAGAAGGGCTATTAGGTGTAGTGGGTTTGGGAAAGACAGCAAGGTGACATTTCTGCAGAGATTTAGAAAATGGGAAGTAATGGGTGCGTGTGGGCCGGGGATGAGGAGAGCCTGCCAGGAAGGAGGGAGGACAAGCACCCAGATCTACCACTGGACCAAGGACCTGAACGCAGCTATGGGCCCAGTTTCTCAACCAAGCGGTTTATGAACTATTTATTGGTAGATCTATCGAGCTCATTTTTCAACATCATCATAAGTGCTATAATTTTTCAAGTACCTACCATGTGCCAAGCTTTGCTAAACACCTTGTGTATTTTACTTCTAATTCCCCACAGAAACACTACGTTGGGTCTTACCTTCCCCATTGTACAGATGGGGAAACTGAGGTTCCGTGTTCCCTTTCAGTAATTTTCATCTAGTTCTAAACTCCCCTACTGGGGAACTGTGCAGGTCACGGGTAACTGTTATATGCCTGAGGTGTATGCATGAGGCCCAGTGCAAACCCATTTACAAAAACATACTAAAGACGAGAGTAAAATCACCCCTGAAACTGGACAGCCAGCCCTGTGCTATTTTTCTCCTTAAACTTGAAGAAAAAAGTGCTGTAGGGACTTGGCAGGAAAATTTTAGTATTTAAAGTCACTCTTTGAGCATTCCTTGTTAAACTTGCAAAATTTAAAATTAGGATAATGTCCTTTCCTTCGCCGCTCCTTAAAATCTCTAATTCTTAGCCTAGGTATGTCCACAAACAAAAACGTTCACCCTAGAACCTTGGAAATGTGTGTTCTGAGTGGACCTCAACTTCTCCAAGTTTCCCAGGAAGTAATGCAGACGACTAACGAGGCTGTAGGGTGTTCCCTTCAGAGGAGGGGCGTGGTCAGGGGCCTGTCAGTACGCAAAAGCTGCGACTTCCGGTGTCTGCACTGCAGTGCCCACGTGGTTCCCCCAACAAACCTTCCTTGTCACCGTCGTGGGGCATTTCCGGTCTTCCAGCTGGTGGGGCCCTGGTAGGGATTTTGCTCTCTGTAGCTTTCAGTGTGGCTCTTTGCACAAGAGTGGAATTGTGTCCGACAGTCCCTGGTTCCAACATCCGCAAAGCGTCTTGACAAAGACCTCCGGTTTGCAGCTCTGCGAGGGGAAAGGGCAGGCTTGGCTCAGAGAATGGCTGTGTATTTCCCAAACCCGGCTACTCCCACTTCCTGCCTTCTGACAGCTGAAGGTTGGAAGGTCCTCTTTTTAGCACAGCTCTTTAAAAATTTAAATGAGATGTGAAGTCAGTTATAGAAGCCAGCGCCCTGATCTGCCCCGTAGGGCTGAGGGCTCACACTCTGGTTTTGATTTCCACGTTTTCTGTTTATAACATATCTGGTTCTCAGCTGCCGACAGGTGATACGAACAAAAATGAAACTGATTTGAATATGAATTTAGTTATCAACTACAGTCTAAGCAAAAAAAGCAAGGGTTATCCTGGGCTCTTGGGCTTGCCGGAGGTTTGCCCACAAGTCACAGGGCACCACTCCCTGCTGGGAGGGCTGGTGTGAATACCAGTGTCCGCAAAGCACCAGAGGCAGTTTTCCTTCTTCTTATAGCAATTGTAGCGATTTCAGGGGGGCGGATGCTTGGGAAGTAGAAAGCGGCAGTCTTGAGTTTACACAGAAGTTTCTATAGATTTGTTCCTCAAAAGGGGGCACTTTCTTATGGGAGCCGTAAACTTGGAGGGTCTGAGGTGCACCTTCTGCTTCATAACCCTGCAACTCATTGACAGAGTTGGAGACACGTGTGTGTGTGTGTGTGTGTATGTCTGCCTGTCCATCACTGGGTTCAAGTCTTCCTTGTGGATAAGGTGTCCTCTGAGCCCCACGCTGGCCAGCTGGGCCTTCAGTTTGATTTGAGGCCTCACTTGGATATAAGAAGGGAAGGGACTCAGGCATCTGCCATCGGGAACATGACGTACTGGCCTGTCCTGGGTGCAAGGCTGAAGTGGGAGGAGGGATGCCCTGACATCCGTCAGATCACAGTTGATGACCACAGTCCCCACCTGACAGCCACACAGAAGGAGGTCCCTATCCCTGTGCCAGGGGACTGGACAAACACGAGGTTTAATGGCCTCCGTCATAACAGCAGCAGCAAATATTTATTGACTGCCCGCCAGACACTATAGTTTTCCCCTTTAGTCCTGATTGCAACCCTGCGAAGGCCGTGATTATCCCCAGGAAACCGAAGCCCAGTAATTTGCCTGATGTCACACGACAGCGTATATGCCACATACACCCTGGAAAGGTCTTCTGTCCTTAGTGAAAACTCCACGAGCATGCCCTTCCCTCCAGCTGAACACTGCACATCCAGGATGGGGGGGCTGGTCTATCCCTGCTCCCCCCATGCGGATGGTCTGTGGAGAGCCTCACCTGGGTAGGTGTGCAGGGTTGTGCTGATGTGTTTGGATGCACAAGATAAACTCCCAACTATAAGGGCCCGTGTCAGGGTCCCTTCCGGCTCTTCCCCATGTGGCCCCGGGACTGTTTCCTGAGTGTTCTGGGCCCAGGCTCCGTATGGGTCTCCGCTCGTTTGGGAGGGATCACCAGGGAGGCCATCAGTCGGGGGTGACTCCTGAGTGCATGCTCCCCTCCCCAGGAAGATCGGTTGCCCAGGTTCTCTGCCCAGAAGGTGTTTTCACGTGGCAAGTAAAACAAGGCTGGTGAAAACACTGGGGTCAGACACTCTGCAAGGGGTGGCTGGGTGGGGTCAGCAGTCTGATGTGGGAGGGAAAGTAAAGCCTATCAGTGAACCGCATTCCCAGGGAACAGGCCACCTGGGACCAGGTAGCCTGGGAGCAGGCCGTCCCTGATGACCTCGCTACGTGGTAGCCTTTTTCGGTTTATCAAATACAGGTGTACCTGCATGCACACGTATGTACAACGTGTATAAATTATGTGCAGGGACTCCTTAACCACCTCACTACTATTAACTCATCCAACCTTCCGCAACCGTGTGAAGCCGGTGCTGTCCTTACCCTCGTTTTACAGGTGGGGAAACACGGACTCAGAGAGGCGACTTAATCCAGACCCCAGAGCTGGTGCTTCAGAGCCGGCACTGCCCCCCAGCCAGGTGATACAGTGACTCGTCACAATGACACTTCTCTCTTAGGAGAATGTGTAACATTTCCGATATACAGATATTGTGACACAGACACACACAGTACATTTAATAAGGAGTTTTATGCAAAATTATTACCTTTCAGTTATAGACACTTTTACAGATAAGGCCCAGTGTTTTAGAAAATTCTGCCTTTAAAGGAATACCCCTCCTCAAATTGAAACATGTAGCATGTATTTTAAAAGAAAAAAGTTAAAGGAGGCAAACAGCATTAATCCAGGAACTATTGTTACTGAGTTTGCTGGGGTGACAGGGGACCCTAATCTGTGACACTGAGGCAGGGACTCACTTTACTCCCATGCCATCCGTGGTGGGTTGCAGACCAGGAAGCCCTGGGCTTTGGCCGAGGCAACCCAGCCAATTCAGATGCAGAGCTTAAATCCCAGCCCTAATGGTGCCTCCGTAGAGTGTATATCCTCCTGGAGAGAAGACGAGTCATGGTCAAAGGCGACCACGGTATGGAGTCCCAAAGCCTGCCAGGAACCTGTTTTGTTAGCAAATGAATCAGCATTTTTGCCCTTCTTGTGCCTCCCACACATACCAAACGTAGTCCTAAAATAGGTTCTATTCAGCGAGTCCTTGCTTGTTCGTTTTAAATGCTGTTTTCATTTAGAACGCACGAAAGCGAAGACCTTCCCCTCTGTAACACTGTAAACTCCGGGTGTGGACGAGGAGCTGCAGAATGTGAGCAGCCCTGGCCCCAGCTGAAAGCGACTTGTTCGCTCTTCATTCCCATGCCGCTTGCTCAGGAGAAACTGGTCTCCTGAATGGGTCGTCCATTTGCTAATCTCTTGGTGAAAGGCTGAGTCTTGTATGTGCCTAGTAAAAGTTCTTACCCCTATAAAGTAAGGGTTTGTTTGGGGCCGGGTACAACTGCCATGCTTGGCGGTATAGGCATGCAGTTTGCAAATCGGTGCAGGCCATCTATAAAACATATTTATGACGTCTGTATCTCGTGCCTGGTATTCGCTGAGGAAGCCTGGGGTTTTGGGTGCTAGGAGACCCACGCGGGGAGAAGATGGATACATGTCACTGTCTCAGGCTGGGCTTTGAATTTCCCATTCACACGCCCTGCTTCTCTGTTCCCCTCCAGGGTCGAGATTACTGTTCGGAAGAAGAAGATATCACATAGCACCGATCCAACTCTGAAACCAGGAGCGACTACTGTGTATATAGGTGACACCCCAGTTGAAATCTTTGCAAAGGTCGGTCCTCTCCAAGGAACAGCCCTCTAGCCGAAGAAGATTGTTCCATATCGTATGTCCCATTAAACTCCAGTGTTTCCTAATGAACTTGCAAGGGAATATTGCTAAAAAAAAAAACAGGCAAACAAAAGGAAAACTGTTATCGAACTTTCTTTGTTGCTGCTAGTTAACACTCGTTGCAACTTTTCACTTCTCTCGTGTCCAGGTATGCAGCCAAACTCTGCAACTCCACCTTAAAGATACCGTTGGTTTTACGGAGGCTCTCCAACCTATTTTCTATGAGATGAGGTAGTGGTCAACTCAGATCTGTCAAACTTCTGTTCTAGACCGGTCCGCTTCGAAGCATCTCCTTCCCTCCCTCCTTCCTCCCCGTCTCTCCCGAGTGGTCCAGAGCCTTGCTTCTCAAGGGCGAGGTGGCGCTTGGGGGAGGGGATGGTTGCTATGGCAAGCCTTGTTTCTCTGCTAAGAAGAAGCAGAGAAACTCCTATCGATTTAGAAGCATGTTGTGACCCGACTCCTGGGCGTGACCCGGGCGCCAGCAGCAGGTGGTTTCACGTACTAAGTATCAGCTCGAGGATTAAGCTCGCGACCTTGGCTTGGCTCCCATGCAGACGGAAGTGTGATCGCAATCGTTTTGGATTCCTCTTCCCCACTTTTTTTTTCTAAGAAAATAAACATTTTACTGTTTTTATGTATCCTTGTCTTCTCCCATTCCTCCAGTTCAGTGTTTTACTTTGATCCTGGGCGTGGAAGAGGAGCCCTTCTTTGCAATGCCAGCGAGAGTGGCTCCCGACCCTTCCTTTGATGACCCCGCCCCCCGCATATTAGCTGGGCAGCCAGTGGTCAGAGGAGATGAGGGGACATCCCACGGAGTTATAGGAGGCCCCCAAACCACCCTGTTACCGTCATTTTGTTGGCAAATCAACCCTCCCACTCCCTCATTCTCTCCCAGGAGCCCCGCCACTTCCTTCTTCCCTCCCTTGCAGCCCTGCCTCGCACGGTGAGAAACATTCACCTACCCAAAAACGCAGCAAACTGGCTCCGCCCACAGTGTTTGGAGATGCGCCACCCGGAGCCCCGGGGCAGGCCTGGGGCATGTCAACTGTGGGTTTGGTAGAGTTTATTTTTCCATATTTTATGAAGAGCATGACCTCTTCCCAAAGACAGAAGTAATATTTTTAACAAATGTTGTCACAAAGTCAACAGCCATCAAAAGGAGAAGATAACTTTTGTATTTTTTTAACGCGTTCGATAGCCTCCACGAGGGTTGTCTTTGTTACTTTCCGGGGAGGGCACCCTGTTCAGTGCTTTGCCAGCAGGCAGTCCAGGTTTGGGCTTGTCCCACCCAAACACAGAAGGCGCCCCCCCACCTGTCTGTTGGCCTTTTGGGGGGTTGTGAGCATACAGGGCCTCGCCATCAGCCTCCCTGCCACTCTCTGAAGGGGGCGCTAGTTAGTACATACCAGGTAGCCAAGAGATCTCCTGCTGCAGACTAGAATGAGAATCTAAATCTGTTCTTGCTGAGAAGATGAGCCCTGACTTTAAAATCCATCCACATCACCGACGGCACCATTGAAGAGCTAATGGTGAGACTCCTCGTCTCCTTTTAAAAGAGCAGGGTGCGAAAGGAAAAGGAAGGAAACTCACTCAAGAGCGATAGAAAGCGGACTCAAATGTTCACAACAAAAGCCCTTCGTTCTTTCAGCCAACAGCAGCTATTTTGGGGAGCAGCTGTGGCTGTTACATAAATAGAGAAACAGCCAAAATTTGAGGCTTTTCATCCTGCTTCAAGCAGAAAAACGCAGGGAGAGCTGAGTCGCCTAGGGTTCTAAGCTCCCTCCCTTTGTATGGTTTTGGCCAAGGAACTAAAATCATTTTTCCTGCAAAGCCCCACCTCAGACGCGTCCACTGAGGCCTCGGTTCACTGCCGTGCGGATGCCCTTGTCCCGGGATTTCTTGTTCTTACGAAGCAAACGCTCACCGTCTTCCACGTGACCCCTCCACTGTCTCAAGGAGTGTCTTCCCAGAAAATCACCACCTTCTGTCCGAAGATGAAATGTGCTCATATCATTTTCCTGACAGTCCTGTTCAACGTCTTGCTTGCCACAACATACGTGCCCACAGGACCACGTGTCTCCTGGGAACCTGATTTTGAGTGTCTCGTACAACCAGGAACTGGTTCCCGTGAAACAGTGACTTTTTGTCTGGAGCCCTGGCTCCCAGTTTCGACACCAGAGCCCTCTTTGAAGTGCACAAGGGATTTATCTGCACACACACGTGGTACATCCAGTAGATCTGAGGGCCGGGGCGGCTGAGCGGGTTGGCATGACATGCTCGATGATGTGAGCAGCACTCACAACTGTCTGTTTCCCTTTGTTGGTTTCAATCATAAAATTGTCAAGTGATTTGTGTTTGTACATTATTTTTTTTAATGCCTTCTAAAGTGAAACTATTTTGCCTTTTTTTGTGCCCTGCGTATCTGAACATGAAGCAGATTGTCTCGGATACAAGGGAAAGAGTAATCCAGAAGCTTCTGCGGGCTGTGATCTCTGAGGCTCAGGGAGATGGCCTGAGGGAGGGAGGGAGAGCAATGGGCCGGTGGATGGAGGTAGAAAAAAGACGAGAGACGGACTGAGTAGCATTTAGCAGAGAGAGTGGATAGCGTGGCAGTATGCCGGGATGCAACCCCCCAGCCCGCTGCCTGGCAGCCGGTGGGTGCAGCAGACTGTCACCGAGATTTACAGCTCAATGACACAGGCCTTGTGTGCTCCGAGCTGCAGAGCCGTGTAAGTTCAGCCGTGTGTGCGTGGCTTTCTTTGGGTTGGCGGGGATTCAAGATCGCGGAGCACCGCTGTCGTAGCCGAGGACGTGTTTGTTGCTGGCAGAGAAGCTTGACGCAGGCTCTTACCTCAGTGATGGCTGCCTCCTGGTCCCAGGCCAGGGCTCAGAGTGGTGTGATTATCTATTTAGGGACAATGAGTCCAGAGATGACAGTTAGCCAGGTCCCCTCAGAATCAGCAGCAGCCTCCACAAGCCTGCTGGGAGACAGGACTCTCTCCATCTCTGATGTCCCCATGGGCTCTGATGACCCAACTGAGAGATGACCTGGCTGAGGGGTAGCACGGTCCGCTATTCAGACCTGTGCTCTGGGGCCCGCCTCCCCCACCATCAGGCATGGCCATGCCTGCACCCTGACAGCCCCCGGGGAGCTGGCCCAGGGATGACGGCCCCCACGCTAGGTCCCATGGGCTGCCATTTCATTTTGAGTTATAACTCTGTTTCCAACCTCGTGGAGACAGTTTTCTTCTCCGAGGACCAGACTGTCCCCTGAGTCTGCTGAAAACGGAGAGTGTACCTCATAAGAATTTTGCCCCAGGAGCCCGTGATGCAGGTCGGCATGTTCATTGCAGTCAGTCCTGCGTAGACGTCAGGCCGGAGATTAGAGCAGCGTTCCAGCTCTACCCATCTCGGGCAGGAGGTGGGGGTGGGGGGAGCAAGGTTTAAAATGTCAGCTTTATAGGAAGAAAAATTATTAAATTCTTAATCCGGGAAAATACTGACCCTGAATCTTGGATTCCAGGACCTTAACACGTTCCTTACGAAAGACAAAACAGTTGGCTTCTAAGGCTCTCTCCTTCCTTCTCCCAACTCCCTCATTAAAAAAAACGTATTAGATTGCACTCTATAATTTTACATAAAATCTGCCTTTCATGCTTTTCCCCTGGAAGGCATTCTCAGAGCTTTATTTCTTTGTGCCTCTCAAAAATTAAACTTATTGTTAAGTTACTTAAACCCTGGGACAAAGTAAGGCATGGTAGGCAGGGAGGGGGCCTCTGTATTTAAGGGCATAATGGGAAGGTGGCTTGAAGCAGGAACTCTGGCTTCTCAAGGTCGCAGGGGGGTCATGGCCGCCCACGCACCCGCGTCAAGCTGAGTGAGGCCATCGGCTTTCACCCTGTTCCCGCAATAAGCCTTTGGGATTTCACAACGGAGGCCTATGAACTGCCTTGTGCCAATGAATGGACGTGTTTTCCCAAGGAGGGGAAAATGTCCTTGACTTCAGTCACCTTTTTGTATGTCCCTGCAAAGGGCCAGAAAGCTATGGCAGAACATGAGGATTGTGGGTGAATGGATGTGTTGTTTCTTTGGTGACGAACTGTCGCACTCTAACCACGCGGCATTTTCCAGGAGACTCTTGTACTGTATCTGGGGTCCACTCTGATCTCGAAAGAAGAAAAGGAGCTGATATTTATTGCTTGTACTCACTCTGTGCCAGTCCTGCGCCGGGCCGTCTCATAACCGTCTTGTATAACCCGCACAGTCTCCCTGGGCAGGGAGCCCACTCCCCCTATGTCCTGAGTAGCGTATCTTCCGTGCAGAGTACACCTACCCAACCTAAAAGCCCATGTTGAAAGAAGGAAAGGTGTCATTCTAGTATCTCCCCAGTTTTTTAAATATCACTCTGCCCTTTGCAACACTGTGAAAACAGCCCTATGGGGCCACCTACCTTCCAGAATCTCTCTTACACTCCTTGGCTGCTTGGTTTCCCCACCAGAGGGTTTTTCTTGCCTTCCCGTATCTGATGAGCTACACGCAACCCGGGAGAGGCTGCTGGCTACCGGGACATCAGTGACCCCGAAGGAGAAGTAGGCACCTTTGCAAATGCAGGCCCATCTCTCTCCTGGGAACTTCTCTGGCATCTGGAAAAGGAACCTGATACTTCCTTGGTTGGATTTCAGCTGCAGCCAGGACAGGCCCCTGCATCTGTGGTTTCGTTTCCTGGCCCCCAAGGCTTGTTTTATCACAGGCTGCACCTTTTTTAAGGTGAGCAGCCTTAACCTTGCAGAGAAGACTGGGAGAATCTGATCTCTAAAGATGGAGGGAAGGCCTGGAGTATTGACTTGAAAGCCTTCCTTGTAGGCCAGGGTTTGACATCTCTTTTTGATCTTTGAACAAGGCGGCGGTCTGCATTTTCCAGGCTCGTGTAAGCACTGAAACTAGATGTGAATCTCATTCGAGACCTTAAGTGTTTGAGATAGTCCTGCGGTGACTTGGGTGTCATTTAAATGACTTGTCCCCAGCAAGAAGAGCCCAAGAAGTCTCCCGAGTTTCTCCCCTGGCTCCTAAACACCCGTCTTCTAAGGAAGATGACTCACATCTCCATAGCAACCGTGAAAGGTGCTGCCTAGAGAGGACCCGCCCCCGCCCTCTCTTATTTAGCTGGAAGGAATCAAAAAGAATTTCCCTGTGTAGAGGGGGGTTCCTGTGACCAGTTTTCCTCTGAAAACTGTCCCCAGGGTTCTGCCTCTAACCCGGTGGCTGTCGGGTTCATTCACCATAATGTGGGAAATGGCTCTTCTCTCTGGGAAGCCAGAGAAATTGCTTTAATTCAGTAAGACTCACCCCTAAACCGAAGGCCTCATTCCAATACTGTCTTTCCTCCCTTCTTCCCTTTCCAGGGGTTATTTTTAGCTCAAGGCTTTGAACTTGATTGAGTAACACTTCGAGGCAGTAAAAAGAACACCATAAACTCAGCCAGAACTGCCTGAGGGTCCCTAGGGTTAAAAATAGCTCCGGAGCCTTGGGGGGCCACTTGGCCTAGACCCAGAAGTGAGAGAACAGCCTTGGGTTTCTTGACATTTCGGTCCAAACCTTCAGGGGCTGCTCTGGGAAGTTTCGCAATAGACTGCAAACCAGCTTTTCTGTTCAAAGCGAGATGCAAATTCCCTTTTAAAAAATTGTATCTAATTTTCTGGAGCAGAACCAGGCAGCTGTCGTATTAGGACTCTAAATTTGGATCTATATCCTGAACACACACGCACACACAGGGTACATGGAAGAAGAAAATATAACTACTTTATCACCGAAATAGTTCAAGGAAGAGCTGTGTTGCTGCCCTTTCCTAATCCCTACAGTAATGTCTAGGAGCATATTAGTCAACCATAGTCATACCAAAATGGGCAAAGCTAGGGGTCATTCTCGAGAAAGTCTGAGTCAGACTTGTGCAGGAGAGCAGAGGTGTGCCACCCATCTTGCCTGTGCCCTGCTTTCCCAGCCTGCCCTGTCACGAGCAGGACTGCCTCACCAGGGCCTCCAGCCTGGACACCACGGCTGGCAGCCCTGCCCTCCCCCCAGGCACGTAGGGGACAGGCCCCCCGCCAGGCTACCTGCCGGCTCCAGCTCTATGCAGCCACGGCTGTTTCCTGCACTGTCTGGCTCCTCCAGTGTGGCCTTCACTGTGGCATCCCAGCAGCTCCGCTGGGACGGATGCTCCGGCACCTGTGTGTGGAGTTAGGGCCCCTTCATGGGGGTTGTCCCAGACACAGCCTGCTTAGCGTTGCCTTCCTGGGGGGCAAGGACACATTCATTCAACTTCCAGGGCGCCCTGGTGTACTGCCGGAACCGAGTCACCGCCAGCAATACACAGCTGACCCAAATACGGCCCCCGCCCCCCAGGAAGCCTGCCGCTGGTCCCAGAGACAGTGTGGGCAGTACCACCGGAGGGATGAGTGCTGGGTGCTGTGAGAGCATCTCACCAGGTGGCCGAGTAGCTTTGGGGATCGGGAGCCTGCCTCACGGAGGGGAGGTCAACCCCCAGGATTGTCAGAGGACTTACAGAGAGTGCTACAAATGGCCTCACAGGCTGAGGGGACAGGATGGGACTCACCAAAGGAGAAACAGTGTGGCCTGGGGCCTGCGTGCAGTCAAGCAGCTGGAGGAGGGAGAGAGAGGAGGAGGCCGGGGCCGCTGGCCACCCATCCCAGAGGGCCCCGTGGACTCTGCTGGTCCCTCGGGGGCATGAAGAAGACCTGTAGGTAGTACTCTGCCCTCTGAAGCAGAGGTCACCCAGAGAGGTCGGTGTGGGCAGCGCAGGACCAGTTTCCCCTCCTTGTTGTGGAACCGCCCACTTCTTGCTGAGATGAGTTATTCCCTGGGAGCCCCCACTCCAACCACTTGTCCTCTCTCCAAAAGCTGTTTGGATTCAAGGGCTGTAATCTGGACCGGGGCTGAGTTAGGGACCCGAGGGACAGCTCTGGGTCACCCTGACCTGTTTCTAGAGCCACCAAGGCTAAAATCACCTCTTGGTAGCAGGCTGGCTTAGACATGGGGGTGAGGGTGCACCCTCAGATGAATACATGGGAGGCAGCAGAGGGCTCCTCCGCTTACTGTGTGACGCCTCCATTCATTCCACCGAAAGGCAGCTGCACTTGGACAATTGGACACTTGGACAGCCTCCCCCGGGTTCAGTCACACCTGGTGGCCAGGCCTGTGCTGTGTCTAGAGCGTGCACTTGAGTCCCACCAAAGAAGGAGATATGAAAAAAGTCAAGCACAAACGGACTGCATGCACATGGGAAATACCAGGAAGCCTGGACAGCCGCCATGGACCTCGTGGGGACAGGGAGGTCACCGGAGCTCCGAGCCCTGCGTTCTTAGGGCCCGAGGCAGGGAAGGCCCAGAGACCAGGGGGGTCTCTGTGGAGACAACTCGCAGTGCCTTTAAGGTTTTCCAAAGAACCTGTTCACTCACACCCCTCACCAGACGAATAATTAGAAACTTAATGAAGAGCCGAAACGAATTAGATACACTGAAAGACCAGCTGTGGTGCATCGTGGTTTCTAGAAACTGGAGAAAAGCCTCAAACAAGTGACCTAATTTCCCGGAGAGGTTGGAGGAATCTGGGGCTGAAGACAGTTTTCCCAGCTGAGTGGCTCAGGGATCCCCAAGGGCCCTGAATGCTCCTGAGGGCCGACCCCTTTAGCGTGAGCCCCACGCCGGCCCCCGGGGTGCAGCCTGGCCCACTCAACAGCAACACCAGCCTCTGGACCCTTGGGAAGATGGGAGCTCAAACACCCACTCGTTTCCCAGACATTCTTTCGGCTCCTCGCTGAGGAATTTCCAATTCCATGTCTTGTGGTTCACCCACGAAGATCCCAGAAGCATAAGCGTTTTGATTAGAATTTGACCTGTGTTTCGAGGTGCTAGAAACCTACAGAACACTTGGCCCCACACACACACCTACTTTAGAATTAAGGCCCCAGAAGGTCCCCTTGGAGGGGCTGGCAGGGGTGGTCATAGAACGTGAGCAGCCAGGCTTGCCTTAGGCACCCTCTCCTCCTTGTTTGCCGCATCTAATCTCCACCCCCTCACCCGGAAGAGAGAAAAAGGGCTGCCCCTCCTCGATGGCTGCAGGTTCACTTTTTTCTTTAAAGGGACGTTGTGTCTTATGGAGAAGGCCCTTCGGGTTGTGCTGTTCTGGCAGCGGGGTGAAGAGGTGCCAGCTCTCGGTCAGGCCTGAGTGGCCCTGGGCTGGCAGCTCCTCTGAGCGCCTGTGAGGCCTCGGTGGTGGGCATGGAGCCCTGCAGGGCGGCCCCCCCCAGCACTCCCGTCAGCAAACACTAGGTTTACTGACATAGAAGGCCTATGTTCACGTACCTCTGTACCAATATATTAGGCACATGATAAAAAGTACACAACATAGAAATTTTAAAAGAATAAGATACAAAATATTATAGTCAGAGGTTCTGGTATTTTTCTCTCTGGACCCCCGAGGGGGGACCTTGGGGACCCCTTTGTATGTGCACACCCAATTTGGACACCACTGTTTTCAGAGCGAATCGGCACATCTTGATGGCACCCACTGCAAATCACCCTGCAGGCACTGGGCCTGCAGAATGGGGAGGTCTCAGGGCGAAATCTCCAAGCCGACTGGCGAACAGCATAAATTGACATGGAACACCCCCCTAAGCAGTAGCGACTATGGGTGCTAAGGAAAGATCAGGGACAATGGGTGGGGCCACGGGGCTGCTCATCTCCCCTCTGTGGGTCTCGGGAGAAAGGCATCTGGCAATATCTTCCCCTCTCATGATCGGAATTCTCTGAACCCTCAACATGCGTTGGCAGTACCTTCCCCAGAGCAACAGGGGGTTCACGTCGCTTGAATATTATTTTTGATTTGGCCACCAAGCTGTCATGATGATTCTGTTCCATTTTTGAGAAGGGTCTGAGAAAGTGTACAGGTCTAATTATATATACATATTTATACACGTGTATTTTTGTTTATTGTTACATTTGGACATTGGACTTTCTATTAAATAATTTTTAACAGTTGACCTGCCTTGGTTCTTTTTTATGCTTTTCTTCCTTCCTGGATCTCAGGGAGGGGCCATGATACTTGAGAAAGATCTTGTACCTTTGTCCCGCTGGTCCCCTGTCTTCATTCTATGTGCATAAGAGCTTCTCCTTTCCAATCTTGCAAGTTCTCCTGTTCACACAGGATGCGTGCTGCATCAAGCACCTACTTAGAAAGTCCCCAACCTTTTTTTCATCGCCTTCAACTCTCACAGGCAGCCCGCTCTGTCCTATCAGCGTGTGCAACGTCACAACCCCGCAGAATGGATGAGGTTGTAAGAATGAGCAATGGCAAAAAAGCTGTGTGAGCCTTTTATATCTGTGCACATGCCCCCACGCACGCTCCCCCTCACAGCATCCGAGCTGCGAGCCCTTGGACCAGTCACTCGACCTTCCCGACCCAGGTGTTCCTTATCAGTAGAAACAGTGCTCCCTCCAGGGCTACTCCACCCACCTGGGAACCTTACACACAGTCCCTGGGACCTGACCATGACCTCTTCCTACAGGTCTCACAAACCGTGGTCTGCAATCTGGAAGATGTCGAGTAAGGTGTTTGGCATGGGGTGGCATGAACCTGGACAACTGAGTGAACAGCTAAGACTCACTCAGTCATTCCAAACATCGGAGAAGTGCCTGCCAGGAGCTCCCCTGCCTGAACGTGGCTCCCCCGACTTTTATGACTCTAGCAGGTGATACAAACAACAGGGAAATGGTTGGGCGTGGGTGGGGTTTGAGAAGGCCCCCCACACACAAAGTGAAAGAGGTGGTGTCCCTTGGGCCAAGCTGCCTCACTGTGGCATGTGAGAAGCTTTTGTTGACGGTCTGTGTCCTCAGGGCCAGGTGGGTGGGAGGCCATAGTGGTGAGTTCTCTACTGTGGGTGCCCGTTAGAATCACGTGGGGAGCTTCTCAGACCACGATGTCCCCAGTCAGTTGAGTCAGGACCTCCAGAGTGGGGGTTGGGCATTTTTAAGTCTCTCCCCAGGTGACAGGGAGGGTCCCAGAGCCACTTGCTACCCTGCATGCCACCGAGATGGGAGATGGACACCTGGCAATAGAGCTGAACGGAACAACCCTGGGAGCTATGGAATAGTGGGGTGCGGGGTTGTACATACAACAGGAGAGCCCAGAAAAGGAAGTATCCATCTCGCCCTCATGCTTCGTGGTGAGAAGGAGCAGGAAATGAAATGCGGACGGAGCAGGGAGAGGCAGGAGACTAAGTGGGGACTCCCAGTGACACATGAAGGGTTGTCCCTCTTGATCTGGGACAAGAGAATGAGTCCACCCCTGAGAGACGGGGCACGTAGGCTTGTGAGGCAAAGGCCCCAAGGAGTCTGTCCATCTGGGATCCAGACATGATGTTCCTCCGGACATTCCAAAGAAAGAGAATTTCATGAAGACACCCTGGCAGGGAGCCTGCCACCTCTGTTGGCTACTCTGCCTTTCCTGGGCCAAAATTACCCCTCATAGTTACCCCACGCCTGCTCCTGCCTGGGTCTGTCCCTAAGCCCTGCGCCCCCACCCTCAGGACACCCCTAGATGGTGGGGGGGGGGCATTCAGGCTAGAACACATGGTCCAGGGAATGATGACCTTCCCCAAAAATGCATGAACTTCAGGGAAGGCAAATCCCACCCCCCAAGAAAGCCTTTGTGTGAAGGAGGGGTCCCTGGTTTCAAGGGGCCAAGGGCAGTGGCTGCCTCTCTTCTCTGTAGAGTCCCTCTGCTCAGTAGACAGAAAAGCAGGGAGTACATACACCCCAGCACCTTTGCAAGAGGTGGGGTGCTCTAATTCATAACTGGGGCTGCAGAGGTTGACTTCCTGGTAATTTCAGGAATCACCAACTGGTGTTACCCCAGACACAAGCGTCTACCCACTAGGAGCAGCCAGGCTCCCGGCTGGAATTTTAAGCACTTGCTCCAACGGTCCCCAAAAGGTCTGCTCATCGGTATGCTGGGCACTTAGTCCTTGACCTGCCTGGGGTCTCATGGTTTTCTGTGCTGTCAGGGACAAGAGCCTCAGTTACAACCAACACAGAGACGGTGCTGTGGATTGCAGTTGGTGCTGTGGATTGCAGTTGTAAAGGCAGACCAGCCACCACCCTGCACCCCAGGGCCCAGCTGTGGGGGAAGGTGCCGGGACGCGTGCTGGCTGGCTCCCCCGGGGTCCTGAACATTTCATGTCAGTTACAGACCAAGGCTGGGGCCCCCAGGGATGTGCGTCTCTCATGATCAGACTGGAATACAAATGGGCTTTGGGATTGAAAGGCCGGGTTTGATGGCATGCGAGGGGGAGGGGCACGTGGAGAGAAACCCCTTCCCAAAGCGCCTTCCTTCTACGGGGGAAAATTCAAGTCGCTAACAAGGCTCTGTCTGTGTGCAGTTCCCACCCTCTACTCCCAGGCCTTTGCCCAGAAAAAAAAGGGAAAAAAGGGAAGCTTTAAATCAAGTCACCTCAAATCTTCTTCATCCTTGAGATAATGCAGGGTTTGTGCCTCTGGGATTCTGGTCCCCTCAGCTCCTGCCACAGGCCACAGCGGTGATTTCAAACATCTCCCTTCTCCCCCTTAACCCACCCTCAGCCCTCAAAGACATACACACAACTGGAGGGAAAGGGCGTAAGGATCCTCTCAAATGTAAGGCAACTGGGTCATCAGGATAAGCAGGAGGACCCAGGGGCAACCTGAAGGTTCCCCACACGTGGAGACCTGGTCGTGTTACATCCCATCCTTGCGAGCAAGAAGGGTCGGAGACTGCTGGGTAGTCAGAGGTGTTTTATTGGCCAGAGTTTCAAAGTTTTACCTGCACAGGGGCGAACTCTCGGGGTGCCTCCGGAGACACACGAGTGCCAAAATGGCTGCAAATGAGAGTCGCGCCTGGCTTACAGACTACTGGGTATTTATATTTTCTAGCAAGCAAGCAAAGGCATACAGAAGCAGAGGTGGCAGTTAGCTATTGGCTTATTTAAAAACGGCGAGGGTCCCTGTTTGGTGGGTGCTGCTGCTGGCGGGCACTTTCTGGCGGGCCGGGTTAGTTACCTTATTTGGCTAGAATTTTAAACCCAATTGTTCCCTGATGTTTGTTCATTACCCTGTTCCAGGAACTGCAGATTTGGGTTGGGTAATGCCCTAGTTGTAATTTTCCTAGCTGGGTATAACAGTTGTGATGGGCACCGAGTTTCCACCTTCGAGTCCCAGCTGCGATGGCTTCTTAGCAGATGCTGAGTCTGCCCAACACTGGCAGAGTCCACGTGGCTCAGGAGAAGTGTAACATCATAGCCACCATCTGATCCCGAGCCAATGCATCCTCACAACAGTCACTACTGCTTATGGAGCAGCGACCGAATGTTCTCTCAGGACAGCCTCCCAATAACCCCCCGAAATTGAGTGCTGACCCCACATTTGATGGTTGGGGAAGCAGAGCCTCGGAGAAACTGAGGGACTTGTCCAAGGTCACACAGAGTAGGTGATAGAGCCAGGACCGGGTTTCCTGTCCCAGCGGCCTGGCTCGTGACCATTCAGTCACAGTGACACTCGCATGGGCTCCTGGAGTTGGCGAGCTGTGGTCACCTCCGTCCGGTCCCATTCTCTCTCTGGACCAGCATCAGCCACCTCCTCCAGCTGCCACCTCCTCCAGCTGCCCTCCGGTGTGCCCTCACCTTCCCTTCCTTTGAGGGAGACGGCAGCCCTGGGCGTGGGCCTCCTGGACTGCACACCGCTCAGGGCCCCTCGCTGCCGGGCGCAGCTGCTGGGAGGCGCGCGAGTGCACACAGGCAGTCTCGCCTTCACAGCGCCGGCACTCGGGGCTCCTGGTTCTCCCTCACTGCCTCCCCACGTTCCATTTGCTTTTCCAGTTTTTCGGCTCAGCAGCTTGATGACCTGGAGACAGCTGGGGTCTGCACTGGTCATTCAGAAGAGGTCTCCTAAGTTCCGCCCTCTTCTCCCGAGATCTAAAACATCTGTTCCCACTAAAGGGCCCCTGCAGCGTCCTTTCCCACAGCTCTCCCCAGGCTACTGCCTTGTGTCACAAAAACTTTGTTTGTGGAGGACTTGTTAATGTGTCAGGTCGTCACTGAATTTGCTTGAATTTGCTACATGCCTTGTTGGACTAATGGACAGTGAAGACGGGCATCTGGTCTACCTGGAGAGCCGCCTCTGCCCCCTGCCTCAGGAGTACTCAGTTCTTGCTCCTCCTGTTGGCTGAGTCGGGCAGCCACTGAGAGCACATGACAACAATCCAGACACCTTTCATTCGGTAAAGATTCAAGTGTTTTTAATGAGGCTAAAGCCAAGGAAAGGATATTCCTGAATTCAATATCAGTATTCTGCACAATTCACATGGTGAGGTCAACAGGGAAGGGGAAGAGGCCACAGAGCCCACACCCAAACTTACATAGCAGCCTCAGCTTGCAAGGAGGACAGTGTTGTCCCCAGCCTGCAGGGCAGCAGATGCATTACAAAAAAACACAGCACCAGGAGAGCTGGCCGCAATGGGCCCAGGGTGCTGGTGAGGGTGAAAAGGAGCACCAGGCATGGGAGAAGGAGCCTATGAGGAGGCTCAGAGGCACTTTGTATCCAAGCGTGAGCTCTGCAGCTTGTCCACCACCGTGAGCACGTAGGAAGCCGCGTTCAGCCCCAGAAGGCTCACACTGTGCCCGAGGAAGCCCCACGTCTTCTCCACGTAGGTCGCAGCTGCCATCAGTGGGCACAGCATGAGCTGAGTCCTGGAGAAGAGGACCTGCACACAGCCATTACTGAGCTGTAGGACTGTGGTGTGGCAGGCGCGAGACCAGGTACGCGGGGCAGGGCATCAGGCTGGCTCGTCGCCTTCCCTGGGCCTGCGGCTGGCATCTGCCTTCCGCAAGCCCTCTCTCGTGTCATTTCGGGGATACTCAAGGACCGGGGATGGGAACACTCGATGAGCAGGACTCTCTCTGCTAGTACGCTCTGCGTCCCACAGGCTGTTACTGTCCTCGTAGGGGATGCG